GCAGAATTTTGGGGTTGGGGCAGAATTTTGGGGGGGTTGGGGCAGAATTTTGGGGTTGGGGCAGAATTTTGGGGGGTTTGGGGCAGAATTTTGGGGTTTGGGACAGAGTTTTGGGGTTGGGGCAGAATTTTGGGGTTGGGCCAGAATTTTGGGGGGTTTGGGGCAGAATTTTTGGGTTGGGGCAGAATTTTGGGTTTTTTGGACAGAATTTCGGGTTTTTTTAACAGAATTTCGGGTTTTTTGGACAGAATTTTGGGTTTTTTGGACAGAATTTCGGTTTTCTTGAACAGAATTTCGGGGTTTTTGGACAGAATTTCGGGTTTTTAACAGAATTTCGGTTTTTTTAACAGAATTTCGGTTTTTTTGACAGAATTTCGGTTTTTTTAACAGAATTTCGGGTTTTTTTAACAGAATTTCGGGTTTTTTAACAGAATTTCGGGTTTTTTGGACAGAATTCCGGTTTCTTTAACAGAATTCCGGTTTTTTTAACAGAATTCCGGGTTTTTTTTAACACAATTCCGTTTTTTTTAACAGAATTCCGGTTTTTTTAACAGGATTCCGGTTTTTTAACAGAATTCCGGGTTTTTTGCACAGAATTCCGGGTTTTTTTTAACAGAATTCCGGTTTTTTTAACAGAATTCCGGTTTTTTTAACAGAATTCCGGTTTTTTAAACACAATTCCGGTTTTTTTTAACACAATTCCGGTTTTTTTAACACAATTCCGGTTTTTTTAACACAATTCCGGTTTTTAACACAATTCCGGGCTGGGGCGGAGTGTCGGTGTCCCGGCGCAGCCGAGCGCGCTCCCGGAGCCCGGGGCCGCTCCCGGGGCCGTTCCCGTTCCCGGGGCCGCTCCCGTTCCCGTTCCCGGTCCCGTTCCCGTTCCCGTTCCCGTTCCCGTTCCCGTTCCCGTTCCCGTTCCCGTTCCCGTTCCCGTTCCCGGTCCCGTTCCCGTTCCCGTTCCCGTTCCCGTTCCCGTTCCCGTTCCCGTTCCCGTTCCCG